TGATGCAAAATCAGCCAGGGCAGCACTGGGTATTTTTAACAAAACGTTTTGAAAGGAAAAAATGTATTCATCCAAACTTTTAAAAAACCCAGCTATCACTTAGCATAAAAAAATATGGAAATATTATTATAAACAGAGTTTTACTTATCTAAAATATTTATTTTATGGGATACCCAAAGGGAGAAGCTTCTGCTCACTAATACCACCACAACAGCCCAGTGAAACGAAAAAAATGGATCAACTTAATCTTAGAGCTGGTACCAAGTCCAAGAGACCCACACAAGTAAAAGAATAAACAAAATAGTCATCATCATAAAATTTAAAGGAGGATTGCACATTTCAAGCTGTTATGAGAGAACACAATTAAGATGATCTTCCTTTCCAGGTTGAGCCAAGAGACCAACAGTAACTAATATTATCAGTCTCACCTGCAGAGCACTTCAGACTGAAAAAGAAATAAATGTACCCCTCCCCACCCTCAGATAAGTATATCTGCAAAAGTCTTTAACACAATTGCAAATCTCAACATACATTCACTGAATAACAGAAAACTAATACAGGAATTATTAAACATAAAACTGATCACTTGAGAGTCCTGAGGTGGTTTCAAGTTTTTGTTTTCTTTCTTGGTTTAAGGATAGGAGGAAGAGATAGGCCTAAAAAGAAAAGAAATGAATTTTTAACCTTCAAGATGTAGTCAAATTATTGAGATGACTTTTGAGCCTTTTCAGAGCTCTTTAAACTTAGATGGATTGTACAAGTTCTTCCTATTCTTTTTTCCTCCCCTGTGTTGGTACTGAAACTCCAGTGTAGGTAGCAAAATGAACAACAGAAAGAGATGTTATGACCAAATATCTAAACTTGCGAGTAACACAAATGTATGAACAGCACATTACACATTAGTTCTCTTGGTAGGCATGCTCCGTTTGAATGTGTTTTGTTTTTAGGGTTTTTAAGCTCAATAACCAGCACTTAGGAAAAGTAAAACTCTATGTAATTAATGGTAATGATGTTTTACAGTACTTATACTACTTTGAAACTCTTGTTCCCAAGAGCTGTATCAGACTAACTCCTTGGCGTTCTTCCTATAATACAAAGACATCTGAATTATATATTCTTAAACCAAGTCCTGTTTTAAAGCTAAATCCATGTTAAGCTGAAAAGAAAAACTTGGAGTTCCCAAAATAAACTGGAATTACTTTATAATATTTGTACTAATGTATAATGTTTCATGCAGAGGTATATACTAACCACCCACAATGAGACATGATCAAGATACTCTTTAGCCTGTACTTTAAATGTCTTGGGTTTTGTGCCATAACCCTGTTACATAAAGTTATTTCTTTATTTCTTTCCATTCTAATATGCTATCATCAATCTACCTGTCTCTCTTTGGAACTCCTTTAAGTTTCACAAAAGGAAACAATAATCCAAGTTTGTTTCCATTGGCTCTGGCCTTCACTTCCAACAGTGAGCCTAAGGACTAGCTGTTCCAAAATGTGCCATTGAGAGAGAATTTATCGCTACCTCAGTAATAAAAATACTCTATTTTCTTCATCCCTTCCCCCACTCTGAATGTATTCTTGCTGTCAGGTGGCTTCCCCTGAATCAAACCTAAGAAATGCTCAACTGTGTCTCCAAAAGCATAAGACTTCCATCAAGCATCTGAGTGTAGAGTGTGTCTGCTTCATTCCAGGTGTCTCACATCTGGTGCTGATCCTACAGTGACCACTGTAATAAAACAGGAGGAGCCTCTGCCTGGCTTTCATCCTAATCATTCTCTAAAGAGCTCAATGAAAACTTGGACTAGGAATGTGAAAGCCGTTAGTTTTTAGGGAGAGGGTTTAAATGAGGAGGCAGTTTGAAGGAGAGCAATAAACATCACAGCTCAGGACATCAAATACTACAACAGGGTTTCATTTCCTTGGAATAACAGATTGCCATCCATTTTTTATTTTGTCTTTCATGGAAAACATTATCCTTCATTGGTAACACCTTTAAGCAAAAAAACTCATATGTATGTAGAGATACAGATATGATTTTATTTTTTGTTTCTAAGTTTGGGAGGGGAGAGAAGAACTAAGCTACTCCTGTTGAAAAACAAATGAGCACTTGGAGGACACCCAAACCCCTAAAATATTATTGCTTTAATGTGACTAAAGATAAAACTTTTAAAAATGACTTTTAATCATTCTTTTCATGTTACTCAGCATTTAACTCTCAAGTTTGATGATGTCCAAATTTCTTTTCACACCCAGCTTTTGGGGCAGATACAACTATTACACAACAAAAGTAAATGTGGCTGGCATTGCACAAGCTTCCAAACCAACTGGTATCAATACATATAAATGCAAAACATTGACCAGCCATAAGTGTGATTATAGGGGCAATATGGCTGAAGAAGAGGATTCAGTAAAACAAGGGTTACGTTAACAGGATAATGACTGACTGGGAGGATATAAGGCAACTTTAAACAGCTTTCCAAAGGACAACCTCATTTTTCCATTTTCTTGTACAGTATCTAATTTCTGGCTCCTTATTTCCTCTGTGATCTGATAATTATGAAATTCTAAATAAACTATCTTTCTTGCAACAAACCAATGAACAGAAAACTCCCATCAACTATGCAGATGTTTCCTAAAGCTCCTGCTGATTATTTCCTGAATGTCTATCCCACAAACCACACTGTAAGTTCTGTGACAACAAGGAACACTCTCTACCCCATAACAAACATAGCTTCTATGTGTGTATGCATGCATTTAAAAAGAGGACTAAGAAGAAATATGCAACTGATAACACCTTTTGTGGTGACTAAAATTTAGAAATTTAGCCCTTTCCAAATGCTATATGGGAAAGAATTCCTACTCATTGTATATTTGTTCCTAAAGATGCCATAAAATTGTTTTGCACTCCTTATTACAGATTTATACCAATAGCACCCCCATAGACACAATTCTATTTTGGGCATCCCTCTCTCTATAATACAATTTAAAATAGTTCCACTGTAGCCCTGGCCAGTTTTGCTCAGTGGTTAGACCATCAGCCTGAGGCTCAAAGGGTCGCAGGTTAGATTCCAGTCAAGGGCCGACCTACCTAGGTTGAAGGTTCAATCCCCAGACCCAGTTGGGGTCATGTGGGAGGCAACCAATCGATGTGTCTCTCTCACATTGATGTTTCTCTCCCTGCCTCCCTTTCATGCTCTCTAAAAATCAATGGAAAAATATCCTCGATGAGGATTAACAACAACGACAAAAAAATTCCACCCCAGAAGGAACAGAAAAATTGAAAAAAAAGAAAAGAATTCCACCTTTATTTCTCCTGCTGTCCTTATAATGCAAAGGTCAACTTTGTATTATTAAAAAATTAAAAATTCTATGGGTTACTAAAAATTCTACAGGTTACTTCAGGCTCACAATGACGCCTGAGCTTATCTACTAATAAAGGAACATTATGAGGGAGTTTGTTTTAAACACTTTTCCAGCCTACCAAATATTAAAGATATTTTCACTCTTGCAAAAAGCTCTCATCTTCTGTATTCTGCTGGTTTCAATTATTCAGGGCAACCCAGGCTGATAATTACACAGTCCCCAGTTGCTGAGTAAAAGTGATGCTTAATTAGCCAGCAGGAAAGATCGATTAAGATCCAGCAGGGCATCTTGTGAGGTTCTCTCACATTCCTGGAGGGAATAGATTCTGGCTGTGCCCTTTGAAAGGATAAAACTCCCTGCTTCTAAGGAGTTTCAATGAGGTTTCTAAAGTAGATGCTAAGATCGGTCAGCCACACAAATTAACTCCCAATTACAACCCTGCAGATGCTCTTCCTTTTCTAAGAGTACTCAGATCAAACATTCTGAATCACATTGCCACCAGGTTGGGAAAGGCTTAAAGCAATGCTCACTTATCCCCAACTCTCTTTTAGTTACCACATTTGAAGTAAACGGTGGGCGAGAAGTATATTGTAAAGAAAATTTTTTATTTCTTCCTCCCCCACACAGGTGTATGCATCTGTCAGATACTCATATTCTAAAAGGCACAAATTAGGTTAGAGCCTCTTATAAAAAACAAACAAACAAACTTAATGAGCATTATATCCCAATCCAATATGAGACTAAAACATTCCTATATGGTCAAAGAATCAATTAGATAAGTCTGGTTTATGGTGGTTTTTTTTTTTTTTTTTTTTTTTTTTTTTGTTAGGGAAGAAGATGTGGAAGTAAAATCAAGACCAATAGTCATAACAAAAATTAATTATTTCACATTGCCTAACATCTTCCCTTTAGTAACTTGGACAAACACAAATGTTTAGTTTTTCACACACTTTGCAAACGTGTTCATTAAAGATCAACACAGTTAAAAGCTAAAAGCAGAATAATTGTCTTAAGATACATAATTATCAAAATATATCTATTTTGAAACTATAATAATTATACCTTTCTACTGCCAATTCAATTCAGTAAATATTTATTAAACCTCATGGGACTGGTTAACTTATCTTGCATTTAAATAAACAAATAAATATACATACACACACACAAAATATTCGTTAAGCCCTGGCCAGTTTGGCTCAGCAGTTAGAGCATCACCCACAGACCAATGAGGCACAGGTTCCATTCTGGTCAAGTGCACATACCTCGGTTGCAGTTACTCACCTGCCCTGGTCGGGTTGAGCAGGAGGCAGTCAGTCAATGTGTCCCTCTCACATTGTGGTTTCTCTCTCTCCCCCTCTTCTCCCTCTCTCCCATTCTATCTGATGATAAGCAGAAAAATGTCCTCAGGTGAGGGTTAAAAAAAAAAAAAAATATATATATATATATATATACACACACACACACACACACACACACACACACATGCACACATTTGTTAAGCCTCTACCAGGTATAAAGAACTGTGATAGGTATGTTTTACATTGTTAATTTATACATTACTAGAGTAGATTTTACTGATTATAACCTGTTTCAAAGCTTATGAAGAAGAATAATGGAACCATTTGTACAAACCTAGTTTTGATTTGCTGAAAACCCCGAAGAATATGGTCTCTGTGCTCCCTTGCAATAGCACTGAGGTTCTCATTCCTTAAATCTTCTGCCAGAAAGTCCTCAGCATCTGAAAGAAAAGGATAGTTGATCAACAGAAAAGAAGTACTAAGGGAAAAAGAAGAAAATCTGGAGTTAAGAAGCTGATATTATTTCCTCTTTAAAAACTTTAAAGTTGTAGAACAATGTGAATGCACTTAATGCCACAGACCTGTACACTTAATAATGGTTAAAATGGTAAATTTTATGTTATGTATAGTTTACCAGAATAGAAAATAAATAAAACTTTATATATGCCTATAAGTGACACCTTTTGATAATCCAAGACATCACTATAAATTTTAAAAGTGAATGCATATATTAACAACAACAACAACAACAAAACCATTTTCTGAATGATTTTAAAGGACTATTTAAGTAGTAATTATCAATGATGGCAGAGGATGGACTGCTATTTTCATTAAGATATAAATATTACAAACAATTCATGGAAGATCACAGGCCAACAGAACTAGAGAGAAATACCAATAAATAGAGCTGAAATAAAAAATAGAGCTGAACTGAAAAATCAAGAATGAAAAGGGCAGGCATTTGAAGAAGAAAACTTAATTAGTAGATGCATCACCAATGAAAAGGATAATGCAACCAAGTGAAGATTATATGATTTTGTATATAGAAACCCCTAAGAAATCCACTAAAAAAATTAATATACAAAAATCAATTGAATTTCTATATAGTAGCAATAAACAAACTGAAAATGAAATTAGGAAAATTCCTTAAGATAGCATAAAACAGAATTAAATATATAGGATTAAATTTAACAAAATAAGTATTTTGAAAACTACAAAATGTTGTTGAAAGACATTAAAAACCTAAATGGAAGGACATCCCATGTTCATAGATGAGAAGACTTACTATTATTAAGATGGTAATATTCCTTAAATTGAGCTAAAGATTCAATGCAATTCCTATCAAGAAATTTCAGCTAGCTTTTTCTTTTCTCAAAAATTGACAAGTTGATCATAAAATTCATCTGGAAAGTCAAGGAACCCAAAATAACCAAAACAATTTTTAAAAAGAAGGACAAATTTGGAGGACTCACATTTCCTGATTTTAAGACTTACTAAACAGCTACAGTAATCAAGACAATATAGTACTGCCATAAAGATAGACATATAGATAAAAAAAATAGAATTGAGGATTCAGAAATAAACCTTCACATTTAAAGTCATTTATTAACTTTTATCAAGACTACCAAGACAATTCAATGGGATAAAAAGTACCAGTTTTTTTTTTTTTTTTTAATAAATGGTGCTGAAACAACTGAATATCCATCCATATGCAAAAGAATCAAGTTTGACCCCTACATCACGCAATATACAAAAGTTAACTCAAAATGGAACAAATACTAAATGTAAAAGCTAAAACTATAAACCTCTCATAATAAAACCTGCCAGAATGGCTGCAATCAACAAATCATCAAATAACAAGTGCTGGTGAGGATGTGGAGAAAAGGAGACTCTAGTACACTGCTGGTGGGAATGCAAACTGGTGCAGCCACTATGGAAAACAATATGGTGTTTCCCAAAAAAATTAAAAATGAAACTGCCATTTGAAGAAGCATGAAACACCAATCAGAAAGAATACATGTACCCCTATGTTCATAGCAGCAATATTTACAGTTGCTAAGATCTGAAAACAGCCCTAGTGTCCATCAGTAGATGAGTGGATAAAAAAGCTATGGTACATATACACTATACAGCTGTAGGAAAGAATGATCTCTTATCCTTTGAGATGACATGGAGGAATATGGAGAATATTATGCTAAGCAAAATAAGCCAGTCAGAGAAAGACAAGTATCACATGATCTCACTTATTTGTGGAATATAATGAACAAAATAAGGTGAAGAACAAAATAGACCCAGGGACATAGAAGTAGAGTTCAGGCTGACAAACTTCAGAGGAGGGGGTCGGGGAGAGAGGGAAGAGATAAACCAAAGAACTTATGCATATAAGCATAACCAATGGACATAGACAGCAATGCTGAGGGAGGAGGAGGAGGCGGGAACGGGAGGAGGGTGTCAATGGGGGGGGAAAGGAGAAACATCTGTAACAGAAATAAATTCATTAAATAAAAATAAAAATAAAACTCATAATAAACATGCATAAATCCTCATGACCTTGGATTAGGTAATAGTTTCTTAGATATGCCATCAAAAGAACAAGCAACAAAAGAAAAAATAAATTGCACATCATCAGAATTAAAAACTATTGTGCTTCATCTGGCTGGGTTGGCTCAGTGGATTGAGTGCCATCCCATGGACTGAGAAGTCCTGGTTCGATTCCTGGTCAGGGCATATGCCTGGGTTGCAGGCTCAGTCTCTAGTAGGGGACATGCAGAAGGCAGCTAATAGATATTTCTCTCACATTGAAGTTTCTATTTCTCTCTCCCTTCTTCTCTCTCTAAAAAATCAAAGAAAAACATATTTTAACAAACTATTGTGCTTCAGAGGATGCTAACAAGAAAGTGGAAAAACAACCCACAGAATGGGAGAAAAGTTTTGGAAATCACATAGCTGATAAAAGACTTATACGTAGAATAAGTCTTACAACTCAATGGTAAAAAGACAAATAACTCAATTTAAAAGTGAGCAAGGGATCTAAATAGACATTTATCAAAGGAACTGATACAAATGGCCAATAAAAACATGAAAAGATGTTCAGCATCAGTAGTTATCAGGGAAATGCATATCAAAACCACAATGATGTATCATCTGTACACTTAATTGTGGTCTCACCACCCAAAGTCAATCTCCTTCTGTCACCATATACTTGACTCCCTTTACCTTCTACCTCCCTTTACCCTCCCCCTCTCCTCTGGTAAACACCATACTGTGGTCTGTGTTTATGAGTGTTTAACTTATAATCTTATTAACCAACATCATCCCGATAAATGTAATAAAATTTTAAAAAACACAATGAGATACCACTTCATACCCACTAGGGTGGAGTCCATGAAATAAAAAACAACCAGACAATAATGAGTGTCTTTGAACATGTTAGAAAAATTGGAACCCTCATACACTATTGGTAGTAATATAAAATGATGCTGGCACTTTGTAAAGCAGTGGCAGTTCCTCAAAAGGCTAAACAGAGAGTTTCCATATGACTCAGCAATTCTACTACTAGATATATACTGAAGATAAATTGAGTGTTTAAACAAAAACTTGTACACAAATATTCATAGCAACATTATTCTTAACAGCCAATATATGGAAAGAACCCAAATGTCCATCAGCTGATGAATGGATAAAAAGTGTGGTATATCTATACAAGGAAATGTTATTCAGCAATAAAAAGAAATAAAATACTGATATATATTACAACATGAATGAATCTCTGAAATCATTAGGCTAAGCAAAAGAAGCCAGTCATAAGGACCACATATTGTACAATTCCATTAACATGAGATATACAGAATAGGCAAATCTATAGAGACAGAAAGTAGATTAATGGGTGCCTAGGATGTGGGAGAAGGATGGAAGGGGACTGAGGAGGTTAGGTTTTCTTTTGGAATAATGAAAATGTTCCAAAATTTACTGTGCTTATGTTTGCACAACTCTGTGAATATACTAAAAGATGTTGAATTATACACTGTAAATGAGTGGGTTTTATGGTATGTGAACTATAGCTCAAGGAAGTTGATAAAAATATAAACAAACAAACAATCTTTATATCACAACATATAAATAACATTATTCTTCTGCACTTTTAAAATTTGAAGAAAATAAAAACATCCCTCAAGCACACAGACATAAAAAATAAGTTGCCTACAAAGCAACAGAATCAAAATTGCCTCTCTACAAAATTAGCACCAGAAGATGAAATTTTTATAGTTTTAAAGAAAAAATATTGTACTCAAGTATTCTTTAAAAAGCCAAGGTATTAGTTACACTGAAGGAAACCGGAAAAACATTTTCAAACAGTTGTGCCTCTGAATGTCTACTTCCTTCACTCTTTCCTGAAGAAAAGCTTTTTAAGGATACATTCTGATCAAAAGAAGGAGGTGGTGATGAGTATCAAAACCACAAAATAATCTAGATAATTATGGTAGGTATGGTTTAAAATTTATAAAAATATCAAAAGCAATTCTTAATTAAGGCAAGACTTAGTGTGAAAAATATAATAATCATCTGACTCTCAGTAAGGGAATAGAAAGGAAGAAAAACATGCTAAATCACTCATTTACATAGTGTCAGTGAGTACTATTCCATCCTTGACAGTGATAATTAAAGAAAATGGTTTAACTATGATTTTTCAAAATGCTGACATAATAAAAGCAGAATAAAAAGGTTTTTAAAAAATATTCAATGTAGTAAAACATAGAAAAAAGAAAAATAATTCAGCATAAAAATAGAACTCACAAAATAACGTCACTGATGACAATATTTGTGAAAAGTTAGACTACCCTATTAAAAGCAAAAAATTTCAGATTATCTCAAAACATAAAATTAATTTAATTACTGTTTAAATATATTCACCTGAAACAAAATGAAACTGAAGTTAAAAGAAGAGAGGTGTACAAAACATTTCTAGGCAATTTTTTTTTTTAAAAGAAAGAACGGCAATAGTTCATATCAAACTAGAACTCTAATAGGTCATTCCATTTTATATAAGGTACAACCCACAATCAAAATAAGCTGTTATATGCTAAATAGCACAGCACTAAAATTTATACAGAGAAAATTGTGAGAAATATAAGTAGAAATTACTGAAAAAACAATTGTAATGTCACTAATAGTACTTGACAGGTCAAATGGATAAAAATATGTAATTATGTAGGGAAGTTATGTCCAATAGAAATAAAATAATTACACACTTACATTTTTTAGTAGCCTTATTTTAAAAAAAGATAACATTAATTTTAGTGTTATTTATTAAGCTCAACAGATGCAAAATTAGCTTAATTTTGATATGTAATCAATATAAAATTATTATTGAGATATTTTACCTTTTTTGCATTAAATCTTTAAAACCCAGTATGCATTTTATACTTAACAACACATATCA